CTAATGGCCAAGGAGCAATTTTCATCCAATTCTCTTCATGGAAAGTGAATGACGGCTGTGAAATTCCCATCAGAGGTGTGAAGGTCACAAGTAAACTAATCTCGCTGCTGTGAAGTTCTGAGGGTCTGGGCAGCGGACGGCTCCTCTTGCCACCGGGAAGCGATGGGGCCACTTCGACGGTTCAGAGCCCAACTTCCGCTGAAACATCACACGTGTGTGAGACACACCTGCTGTGGGCTGAATTCTGTCCCATGACAGATGCTGTCAAGTCCAAACCTCCAAAACCTGATGTGACCTTATTTGCAAAGAGGGTCTTGACAGGTGTGATGAAGTTAAGATGAGGTCATGCTGGAGCGGGGGTGGGGGGCTCAGTCCAGCACTGGTGCCCTCACAAGAAGAGGGGAGACTGGACACAGGCGCAAGGAGGGGCTGTGTGAGGACACAGACCAGGCGATGCGTCTGCCGGCCAAGAACGCCGAAGGTTCCGTCGCCAGCGGCAAGAACGGGCCTGGGACACATGCTCCCAGGAGCTGAGGAGACCGGCCCTGTCAGCACAGCACCCCGAACTCCAGCTCCCGGCCTCTGAGGCCTGTGAGAACAAATATCTGTTGTTATCAAGCACCGAGTTTGTGGTGACTCGTTACTTACTGCAGCCCTAGACTCAAAAAGCACACACGTCACACACGCTCAGACACGTGCCACATGCGCAGACACATCATAGATGCTCAGACACGCGTCATACGCACACAGACACGTCACACGCTCAGACACGTCACAGACGCACAGACACACGTCACAGGTGCTCAGATACATGTCACACGCACACACACGTCACACGCTCAGACACGCATCACATGCACAGACACACATCACACCCACAGACACACATCACACGCGCACACACGTCACGCGCTCAGACACGTCAGACGCATGTACGTCACGTGCTCAGATACATGTCACACCCACACAGACACACGTCACACACGCACATGTCACACGCTCAGACGTCAGATGCTCACACATGCTCAGATACACGTCACACATGCAGACACACGTCAGATGCAGACACATCAAATGTGCTCAGACACACATAACACGCGCAGACACGTCACACACGCAGACACACGTCACATGCTCAGACACGTCACACACGTCATAGATGCTCAGACACACGTCACAAGTGCACACACGTCACACGCACTCAGACACATCACAGACGCAGACACATGTCACACACGCAGACACGTCACGCGTGTTGACACGTCACACACGCAGACACATGTCACGCAGACACACGTCACACAGACATGTCACAGACAGACATCAGACGCGGACACGTCACATGCTCAGATGTCATGCAGACACACGTCACACGTGCGCAGACACGTCACATGCTCAGACACATGTCACAGACGCAGACACGTCACAGATGCTCAGATACATGTCACAGACGCACAAACACACGTCAGACACGCACACGTCACATGCAGACACACATCAGACAGACATGTTGCACACACAGACACGTCACAGACGCAGACACATGTCACAGACGCTCACACATCACACACACAGACACGTCACACACGTACACAGTGAAAAGGGTATTTGCCTGTACAAAAATTTTACTCTGTGCATTACTTTTATGGACTCACAGGCTCCCACTTTTGCATTATTAATTCACCAATGAAAACGCACACACAATATTTAAATCCGTCCCTCATTTAATCTACATCTTTAAGATGATCTAAATCGTGTGAGTCCACTCTCTTTGTTACACAGCAACCAAAATGTATCATGCAATTAAAACACACAGATGTTATCCTCTGAGATCCATTAATACCGATCTGATGAAAAGTATGCTCCGGTGAAGGTCAGGAGATCATCCTACACGGGGGAGGAAGGAAGGGAGGGAGGAAGGGAGGGAGGGAGGGAGGCAGGGGGAAGATGGAGGGGGGAGGGCGGGAGGGAGGGAATGGAAAGGAACTCTTCTGAAAACAGGAAGGCCCTTGGGACTTTAACCCTCCGACAATCTGAAGACTCCTGAGCTGGCCGGAGGAGCACGAGGGGAGATTTACGCCTTAAATGAATGAAAAGAACGAGCATTTCAGACAGGAAGCAGCAGGGAGCTCTGAGCAGCTGCAGCAGCAGCAGCACCTGCCTGTTATTTAAAGTCACACTCACGTGTAGCCGACCGCTCCAGCAGTTGTGAAGAGGAAAGGAGGGAAAATTAGGAGGTAATAACACCGAGAAACGGAAAGGTCTCGCAGCTCCCTCGAAGTCCGGTCCCCTGGACCGGGCGCCCACAAGGCCCACCGTCACCTGTGGTCCAACCACATCACCAGTGACCGGCGGGGCTGAGCTCCAGTGGCCTCCTCCAGCTGCTGCACACTCGGCGAGGATGCCCACCGCCCCGGTGTGCTCCACAGACCTGGGCGGCGACACAGGACGTGCCAACTCCAGGACGTTCTGCACGAAAAGCCTCTCGATAAAGCACGAGCGGCCATCGGTCGACATTGCCACATTCGAAAGAGCTGGAAGCCCTGGACTGTGACAGGCTCCCTGTGTGCGAGAAGGACCCTCGGTCAGCAGGACGGCGAGAAATCACTGCCTGTCCCATTGTCCTTCAGAAACAACCAGTCATGGTCCCGCCCTGATGCGGTTTGGCCACCTGGGCACGTAGACCAGAGGTGGGAGGCGGTTCCCCGCTGTCCTGAAGAGGGGCAAAGAGGTGACACCTGCCTGGTTCCAGGCAGAAGGAGGCGCCTGGCTTCACTATGCTTTTAGCACCCAGAGGCCCTGGTCCAGGGGATGTGCCGGGGAAGGGTGCGGCACCGCCAACCCCCTCGACCTGGAGTCAGGCAGAGAGAGGCCAGTGGCCCACTGAGCCCCTGATGTTAAGAGGAGAGACTGTGGACAGCCTTTCCCCGCCCCAGGGGCCCTCGGGACAGACCCACGGAGGGAGACACATTTCTACCCTGCAGACAAGAGGGACCCCCTTTTCTGTACCCACCATGCTTTTCTACCCCGCAAAACTGTCTTTTTACAACCGTGCGATACCACGAAATTCAGTGAAGTAAAACGTGCTGCTTGAAACCCTGGAGAAGCTGGGGGACTAGAGGTCACAGCTGAGCCCCGCTCCCTCCCGCCGGGTTCGACCTTCGCACCGGCAGACGAGCCAGAGGAACGCCTTCCTGCGAAGCAGAACGTACGGCCCGTTGCGGGGACATCGCAGTCGGGTCCAAACGCGATGGGACAAACGGGCAAAGGGAAAGGGGCGAAGCCGCACCAGAGACAAAGCGGCACCCCGAGCGAGGCGGCCGGCGACCCCCGCACCCAGCACACCGGACATCGGAACCCGGCGAGGGAGAAGCCAGAGCCTCGTGACGAAACCCAGGGCCCAGACCATGGAACCTCGGGGCCCCGACTGCGTGGGCGGGGAGGGTGCCAGCGGATTACCTGCAGAGGTGACCTTGTCACCTGCGGGCAGGTTAGCCAGGTCCTCAGCAGCTCGTGTCATCAAGCTATACAACAGCTGGTCCCAAGAACCAAGCAGAAAACCCAAAACATAGGCTCCAAAAGACTCTCTAGGAAAATCAAAATGACGACGGCCAAAAGCCACGCACAGACACAAAGGAACAAACGCACCAGCGCAACCCAGGTCCAGACCCCAGGAAAGAAGGCAGAACCCTTGCTCGCCTGCCTTACCTCTTCCTCACCTGCCTTACCTCTTCCTCACCTGCCTTACCTCTTCCTCGCCTGCCTTACCTCTCCAGGCCACGCTACCGCCTCCCATCCACGCACCTTTCCTCCGACAGCCGGGGGTTCGCTGCGGGCTCCCACAGTCCAGGCTTCCCGTTAGCCTGCTCTTTCTAAATCCTCCCCTCAGTGTGGTTAATGCGGAAAGCAGGCCTCTCCCCCCGCCCCCCATGTGGCCACCACGAGGCTTTTATGGGTTATTTGCAAAATTCTGCAAATGAATGGCAGAGCCCAAGCAAGGAGGGGCTGCAGGATCCCACCCCTCCCTGCTTCTCTGAACGGTTCCACAGTGTCCAGGACACAAGTTAAAGCACTAGCACAGGTGTTACAGGAGACACGTGAAGCTACTCGGGACTACTGCTAAAAACACGACTAAGGGACGAAACAGGGTGGAATGTTTAACTCTGAAAAAAAATAAATAAATAAAAAGCAAATGAAACGCAATAGGATGGCACACAGAACGGGGGGCGGGGGGAAGGGGGGGGACGCTACAGTACAAAGCCCGGCCTCTGCGCCGCCGTGGAGACAACGTATAGTTACCTGCGTCCATATCTGCAAAGAATGGAACAGCCAGTAAGAAAAAGAAGGAACCAGAAATTCAGTGTCTCAGAGTTGGATTTTTACAAGGTTACACGGAGAGAAAATATAACTTAGAAAACCTGCCTGAGAACTAGTCCCGGATTAGGGGGGCACGGGGGCTGAATGGGTTCCTGTCGTTACTGGAATTTTATTTAAAGCAAAAAAATAAAATATGGGAATGTTAACTGAGGAAGCAAAAGCCTTACGGCAGACGAAGTGTCTTCTCTTGCGAGAGAGTCATTTAACGTTTACGATACAATATAAGGGGAGAAACGCACTCAAACACTCGGGGTGGTAACCTGACGGCTCGTACCTGTGACTCAGTCGCAGGACATACGACTTACGTACGAACTCGGTATCTGCATCGGAGAAACGTCCGAGCAATATTTAAAGGGGAAACACTGCGTTAACATCCGAAAGGACAGAACTATCAGGGAAGGAATAAATTCGACAGCACTTCATGGCTGTGCTCCTGCGCCAAGGGCCACAAGGACCCTCGCCGGTCAGCTACGATGCGACAGAACAAACAACATACCCGAGAATTTCTACTGCCCGGTATTTTATTACTGTCTTCACACGTGACACATCGAAGTAACGACTGAGAATGGGCTACAGGAGAATTTTAAAAACGAAAGCTTGGGCCTGTCTGCCGCACAGCATACCTTCGGGCGACTCCTCCTGGACGTACGTGCCGGTCAGGTACCGGTGCACCAGGGCGGACTTGCCGCTGGCCAAGTTGCCCACGATTCCCTGAAACGAAGCAAGGGACAGTCATTAGGTCTGTGACATCGGTCTGCTCGCCCACGCGCGGGCGCAGTGAGCCTGAACACGGTCACAAGCTCGCGCCGGCCGGAAGGTCCAAAGGGCTCATCGAATCCTCCTGCTGGAGAAAAAGGGTCGCCGGCCCCTCACTGCCACCTGCCCCTCTCGGCAGCCTCGACGGCGCCACGGGCACGCCCTGTGCCCTCACGCACGGCTGCGGCATCCCTCCAGCACCTCGGGGGGGTGGGGGTCAGCCCCTCGTGTATGGCGATCCGTCCGCATCTGAGCAAGGCCCACTGTTATGCAGGGCACGGTGACAGCGGCGGGACACGTGACAAGGTGGATGTTCTGGTGCATTCCATCAGGACATGGGGGTAGGAGTATGGAGCCGGGTTAGGGCCACCCCGGGACAGAGCCGTGGGCATGGGGGGACCAGAGGGACAAGGCTTGTACCAGCTGGAGGGGGAGGGCGAGCCCGCTTCTCGGAACACGGGGCCACGCTGCAGGGCTGAGGAAGGGGGCAGGGCCGGGGCCCACGGGCGCGGCGGCCAAGGTGCTCGTACCAGGTTTAAAACGGCCGTCAAGTCAGGTGACGTGAGGGGCACTGCCCCAGCCGACGAGAGGGGGCTGAGCGGGGCCAGGGTGACGTGGGCAGCGGTGCCTTCCATCATGGGCTGCCGGCCCCGCGGCTGGGACACCGCACTCGGGGTGCCGGTCCCCCGGGAAGCCACCCCTCCGCGTGTGTGCAGGGTCTCGCTGTCCCTCCACCCTCTTCGAGAAGGATTCCTGGATTTCCACCTTTCCCACCCCCACCGGAACGTCCCCCCTGCACTCCCCAGGGCCTGGTCGATAATTTACGGAACAGAAAACGAGAGGCCGCCCCTGCACCTAGGTCCCTCCTACGGGGGTCCCCGCCCCGGGCACCAGTGCCAGGCCTCAAGGCCACACCTGCTCCCTGTCCCAACAAGGACACCGCCGTGAGGTCCCCGACGGCTGCCACCTCTACACCCCCTCGCCTTTCCCTTGCTCCTGACCTGGCCCCATCACCAGAAGCTGCAGACCGAGGTCTCCGTCTTCACACCTTCCGCCCTGGACTTCCTCCCGAATCCCCTCTCGGCCCACGTGGCTCCTTCCCCGACCTCACAGGTCCCCCTCGATGCTTCCAACACCCCAGGTGAACCTGGCTATACCTGTCGCCTCTCAGTAACCTACCGATTCCGCCGCCACCCCAGACCCCGGCGCACTGCACACCACCATGCAGGTGCTCAGCACGGCCAGTTCCTGCCCTTTGCCCCCAAGCTGCATCTCAGCCTTGTGAGCACAGCCCCACTCAGGCCCTCACCCCAGGTCCCTGGGAGCCAGCCCTGAGCCCGCGCACTCGGAAGCCGGGGAGCCCTGCACGAGCGTGGGGCGGCCTGTGCTGCCTGCCGGATCGTGGGGCAGCCCACAGGTCTGCCCGCCTGTGCACCCCTCCCTCCTCACTCCAAGAACACCAGCGGGACCCTTTAAAGGGGCCTCGGTGATCACATTCTGGGATCACTCCCGTGGCCACAGGCCAAGCCCAAGTGCTTCAGGGACAGCGACGAAGGGTGGCCCCTCCAAACCCTCGCACACGACGGGTCTGTGGACTCGCGGGCCCAGCAGGAGGCCGCCCGCCCTGTCGCCTTGTCGCCCTGGCACCCCTCCCTCGGGGGTGGCTCCCCAGCTTCTCCCGCGCACACGCACAGGCCCGTGCTGACTGTGGTGACGTCCGTGGCTCCACCACGCTGAGGTCCCCGAAGACCGAGAACTGTGCCCCCCGTGACCAGCCACGACACCAACTCTGAACCCCAAGTGCCTGGCAAACGGGGGTGTGGGCTGTAGAAGGCAGGGCACGCTGAAGGAAAGAAGGTTGGCTGCTGGGAGGAATGGACGGTGATGATGCCAGTCGCTGGAACACGGAACAAATATGGCCTGAGACTGAAAATTAAGTTAAAAATTTACCTTTTTCTATCCCATAACCCGTCCTGCCCTCACAGGCTGCTGTCTCCAGGCTCCTAGATCTTTCCACATCGGTCACTGCCCGAAGTATTCCTCCTACTCACTGGTCAGACGCCACCTCCTCTGAGAAGCCTTCCTGACGCTCCCTGGGCACCTCGCCTCAGCGCTGCTCCGTGCCCGGCCCACAGCGCTGTCTCGTGACCTCCCCGCTGTACCGACGTCGCTGTGTGGACCTGACTCTCCAGGGCAGGGACCGTGTGCCACCTGTCGCGGGTCTGAGTGTCCCGGCACTGCAGCTATCCACGGGTGGGGGGGGGTCTCAGCAACACTGGTCAACTAAGTGAATGAATGAGTGAGCGAATGAATGACGCCAATGTGACTGAGTATAAACGAACTGCTTCACTATTACGTACGGCTCAAAGCCAGGCGGTGTGGACAGATCCCAAACAAGGTGGTTTCCCTTCCCGATTTCACGTCTTGTTTTCATTCCTCCTGGGGCCTCCAGAAGCCGAGAATTTCTACCTGTTAATTATTTTTTTTGCTCAAGGGTACCTGCTGTTTGTCAGCTGCGAAAATCATCCAAAACAGTATGCCGCAGAATGAAATTTTTAATTAAGATTAGAGCTACTCTCTTTCCTGAGGAGGGAACATGCTCAAAAGCAAACACCGTTCGGCCTGGGCTTTCTGCGCGTGGCGCACCCTTCCGTCTCGTGTGCCAGCGCCGTGAGAAGACCCGGCTCGCCCCTTACGAGGGCCACGTCCACTGGTCCTGGGGCGGAGCGGGAAGGTGATCTGCTGGGTCTGAAGGGTGGTCTAAGGTGTCCTCGCTCTTGCTGCCCAGATAAAAGGATCAGGCGAGTGAGTGCTGTTGGCACCGTGGCAGTGACCGGCGTGCGGATCCAGTGGGACAAAGCGATGGGTCACGGCTCATCTAGCCGTTAACACCGCTTCGGAATATGAGGGGCGTGGTACTACCACTCTTGAGAAGAAAGCCAACATTGAGATATTTTTCCTCTGACAGATTCCGGAAGATTTATCGCGAAGTATTACACAGAGAGTCCACTGGGGGCTCGCTGTTGTGTTTGTGGAAGAGTCAGGGCTTCCGAAGGCACCGACCTAAGGGGCTACCCGCGGTGGGGGCGATGGACGGGGGGCAGGGGACGGGGACAGGAGATGACTGTAGCCCTGTGGACACCCAGATGCTGCCGCAGAACAGGGAGCACCTTCTGCAGACGCCGCCAGCTCCACAGCACGAGGGGTCGGCCGAGACGCCCGTGACGATGGGCTGCCCGCCGCCTCCGCACCTGGGGGACACCCTGACCGCAGCAGCGCTGGCCGTGAAGGTCACAGGCCAGGGGACAGGACGCAGAGAACGTCCCGCAAATGCCTGCAGAATCGCTCACGCTTCCTCGGCCACAGGGGGAGCAGCCCCTTCAGCTGATTCAAGCAAACTCACACTTCGGGGTGCAGAGTCCACGCTGCCCTTAGCACAGTCGCCGCTGTAGCCCAGGCCTCATTTCAGGCAGCTGCACGAAACGCCAGCAGGGGACAGGCCTCTGGGTGAGCGACCAGGGCTGGCGCGGGTGTGTGGCTCCAGCAGCAGCCCGACGCCTCGCCTACCCGGCCCGGGCCCACACCGGAGGGGCCGACGCTCGGCGCGCACGGTCAGCCTGTCGCTCTGTAAGGGGCGGCCGTTCCAACTTAAATTGATTACGCAGATAAAACCATAGAATTCAGCCCCTTAGTCGCGCTAGCCACCCGCTTCGAGTGCTCCACAGTCACACAGGGCCGGTGGCCACCGTGCCGGACAGCAAAGGCAGAGACCGTGTCCACTGGTGCTGACACATAAGCCCGCACCCCGGGCTCAAACCCCAGCTCTGCCCTGTGACCTGGGCCCGCGGGCACCATCTCCACATCTCACGGCTCGGTTTCCTCATCTGTGGAGGGCAGACAATAATGTGCCCGGCTGCCGGGCGGTTCGTCAGGACTGTGACATCACTTACGACATGCCCCGCCCAGAGTGCACGTGTGGCCATCGCCCCGTCGTCATCAAAACACCGTTCCCGGGACTTCCGCCAATCGCAGACCCACACGGCACTGGGGCCTCACGAGGGCGTCCGGGGCACTCACTGGTCCATCTTTCTGAACACCTCCCAGCGGCAACGAAGCCGGCTCCGCAGCATTTGTCTGACAGGTAGTTCCTGAGTGTGTCCCACGGGGGTCACACCATGCAAGGTACGGGGCTTACAGGACACAGAAGGCACCAAGAGGCGGCTGTTTCGAGGTTAGTCCTGCAGGAGCCGGGCTGTGACATGGGCCCTGGGACTGGCAGATGCTCTGCCTCTCACGAGAAAAGAACCGTGGGGGCAGCTGCCCCAGAAGGCTGAGCGCCGAGGGGAAGGACGAGGGGCAGGAGATGGGCCCCAGTGACGGCGTTGGCACAGGCGTGGCAGGCGTGGCAGGACGGGAGTGTGCCGCGACCACGCCTCCCAACTTCGGGGTGCCCCCCCACGGGCGTCCTTGTTTAAAAGAAAGGCATCCTGTTCCTGGTGCCAAAAGGCATCACTCACACAAGTCACATACACGCTTCGCAACCTGGACGTTCCTTGCTATGCGATCTCACCTCAGAAAAGAGGAGCCGAGGTCCTGTCCCCTGCCCCATGTCCGGCCAGCGGGAAGAAGGAATCCTAGGGCCCTGAGGTCACCGCACATGGGGCAGCTACTGACAGACGTGGCCGAGCAGGCCCAGGCCGCAGCCAGCTTCCCCACGGTGCACGGGATGGGGCAGCGCATCTGCTCATACGGAGCCCAGGACTTAGGAGTTTAACCACATGTCTACACATACGCGCACACGTACGTACAATCCACACGGATGCACACGCACACCAACACGCACACGTATGTACAATCCACACGGATGCACACGCACACAAACACGCACACGTATGTACAATCCACACAGATGCACACGCACACCAACACGCACTCACAGACACAGCCCCCAAACGCCACTTATTCCTTAACGGAGAACACAGCGACTGAGAATTCGCCTTTGCCCCTTCCCCGCCTGCGGGGCACACAGCGAGGCTGGGGCTCCGAGGTGGAGTGGCAAGAGACCCGGGCCACTTGTCATGAGCCAGTCTTAAGCTTCACATAATCTCATCGAAGCAATCCTAGAGTTTATAATGAAAACGAAATTCTTCTCTTAATTGTATGCCGTGACTCTGTAATGCAGTAAAAACAGTCACGGTTTTGAATGATGGATTCCAAAGTTGGAAGACACATTACGGAAAGCTTCTGTGACATCCCGCAGAGGATAAAGCAAGCCACAGCTATGTGCGAGTGTGTGAGAGAGAGGAGATACACAGGCAAGCCACAGCTATGTGCGAGTGTGTGAGAGAGAGAGAGGAGACACACAGTCAATCAGACACACGCACACACACACACACACACACACACACACACACACGATGGGGGGATCTGCCCTGTGCACACCAGGCCACGCTGGCTGGCCATCATTGTGACTGTCCCAGCCCCAAACTGCCAGCTACGCCCGTCCCATCCAGGGATTCACCCAGAGGCAGGCTCTGCCTTTGGGCCCCAGGGACGAGCAGGCCCCACGGGACGCGGGCCTGGGTGTGTTCACAGGTCACCCAACTGTCACGGAACACCCCCCCCCCGCCCTGTTTCCGCAGGAGAGGAAAGACGGCTGACAAAAGCACTCACCACTTTGAGCTCAGGGACAGACCGACTCAGCGTCCACTCCTGGCTGTTCACAAAGGCATCTGTAAAGCAGGAAGGGAAACAGAAGTTAGATGCACGGTCGAAACGCCCCCGCTGTGCCATTTTCCACCAGGACCCTGCAGACGGCGCCGAGTGCGCACGGCGGCCCCGACTCCCAGTCTGCATTCTGTCCCCAAACCGAAAGGCACACGCCGCCCGATGATGCCAATCGGGCCCCATGACTTTGATTTCTCCCCATCTCACAGGCTCCACCCAGCCCGACAGGTGTGTGTGTGTGGGGGGGGTGGGGGCAGGCGCTGGGACTCTGCCAACTCTGCACGTTTGCAGGTGGGGAGATTCAGGAGGCTCCTGGCTCCCCGGAACTGACCCGGTGGCCACTCAACTCTTGGTCTTTTGATTTTTCACTGAAATAGTCGCCTGTCTGCAGTCAGGCAGGTGACGACTGGATGCAGAAAGCTGAAACGTCTTAGGGTTTAGAGCACCCCATGCTGGGGTTTCGTCCCTTACACACGTGTCAGACACTGAAGATCCAGTCAGGTCACTTCGGGATGTCAGAAAGACGGGGGGCCCCAGCCACTGTGGGGTCCGCTGCTGAGCCCAGCCCCCACCTGGCTCTGCACACACAGGTGGCCTGGCCTCCCCACCCCCGGCTGGCCATCTCTGCCTCACCCCCATATGTGCAGGTCGACGCAGACCCCCTCAACACAAACGACCCAACGACCCGACGGCCCCAGCCCCACGTGCCACTTCTCGGCATGAGACCCCGCAATGCCACCCACACTGTGTGCTCAAGGACAGGGCGTGGCAGCTGCTGCAGCCACCACCAAGCTGGCGGCAAATGCCTCTCCTCCCAAGTGGGGTCCCTTCTACGTGTTCCCCACAAATTCAGAAACTCTGTCACTCCACGTTATGTCCACAAGGAGGTAAAGTGACTCACAAGGTACCTGAAAGTCAAGAAATGCCATCAGTTTCAAAGAGACAAAGGATATTCGAACCAAGTGGACAAGGGAACGGCAGCCAGAGGCAGAGCCACGAGTTCTGCTGGGGGTCGCCACGGAGAAACGCAGTTGGGGGGGGGGCCGAGGTGAACGCAGTCCGGGGTGGGTGGCCACGACCACGGGCTCTGCAAAGACGGGCTGAGGTCCGCCGACGCTCAGGCGAGACAGCCCGGCAGAGGGAGACTCGGGGGCGGGAGGAAGCGGCGGGGCAGCAGGTGAGGAGACGACCAGCGGCCTCTGCAGCTGCGGAAGGTGGGGATCACGCTCGGCATCACGTGCTGGACTTTGGGGAGCCGAAAGCCTGGGCGGCTGGCAGAGCAAGGAGACAGAGCCCCTGCGGGAGCTCAGAAGGAGACGCCTGTGAAAGTGGCGAGCATGTGGGGGGCCAGACCCTGGGGCGCATGCGAAGCTGTGCACGTGAACACCCACTCGCTGGCCAGCCAAGCATCACCCGAACCTGCCACAGGTACATCCCCCGCAAACAGACCCACGCGGATGGCGCCGGCCGGGGCCCTGACCCCGCAGGGCTCGGCAGACGGTCATCAACGCGGTTACCAGTGACCAGCACCACTAATGAAGCTGCGAAACACTAAGCTCTGTCACTGACCACTCTCTTGAGAACACGAGATCGTGGCTCACAGAACCTGTGGGGTGACCCCAACGGCCTGCGGGGGACAGAAGATGACAGTGACCACCCCATTCTCCCGCAACGTGCACCGCAGGCACCAAGACGTCCCGGAGGCCGCCCTGTGGCTGCGCGTGTGACACACTCAACGCTGGTTACACGGTCACGTGATGGGAGCCTAAGCAGACAGGAAAAAAAACAGAATCAAAAACAAAACGCTTGAAGCCTCAACAAACCAAGTGCAACTATTCCTAGGTGACAGCGACAGGTGTGTGCGTGCGTGCACGTACGTGTGTGCGTGTGTATAAAATACACGCATGTGCTTGTCCAGGCTGAGAACACTTCAAGCAGCATTAGAAACAGCTGCCAGCTGAGGACTGGGGAAGCAGGTGGCTTGGGGTCGAGGGTCACGAGGAGACTTTCTTCTCATTGCTACCTTCCGGCGCCTTTCAAATTTTAAACGATCCGGCACATAAAAAATCAAAGGATATAGTTTTTAACGTGAACTTTAGCAGTAAATCTAAAAAGGTAAAGTGGGCATTAAAATGAGCTCGATTTATTAAGGCGACGCCGATTTTCAAACGCACACCACCAAAAGATTCTGTTTATCACGAATGCTAGAGGTTCACCGTCAAGCGGGACTCCATTAAACCCAGACGCGTGAGCAGACCAACACCGGCACGCTGTGTGGCACCTTCCCGCCTGCAAACACTTCGCTACTGAAGCAGAATGCATTTGCTCCGTGGCAACAAGATTAATAAAATAAATGCCTGACGTAATGGACCAAAAAAAAAAAAACCTGTCTCCCCATAGAGGTCATTCATTTTAAAAACTTTCATCGCCCCCATCTCTGCCCGGTCGGAAGGGAATGCTGCCCCAGACAAGGCAAAATGAAGAACAACAGATGAGCAGAAGGCTCGCGTCCCAGAATACTCCTTTACCCTACTCCTCTGTCGGGACCCTCTGTGGCTGGGCTCGATGCTGAATGGGGTCACAGAGACGGACGAGGCGCCGCCGGACCTGGAGCTCACTGCAGGGTCAGCGGGCCGGGGGCCGGGCCAGGCTGGCTGCCCTGTTTCATGCCATGTTCACTGTGCCACCACACGAGAAAAAACACGCTTCGGGTGACCCCGCCTGGAAGTGTGCGCGCGCGTGTGTGTGCGCGCGTGCGCGCATGTCAGTGTGTGCGCACACACGCGTGTAGGTTCCTTGCCCCAGCTGGAATCCTCAGTCGGGGAAGATGGGCCTCATTTCAATTCAACGGAAACTCTTCGCCCTAGCTATTGAGCTGATGACCAGAGCACGTGCCGCTGGAGGAACGCGCCGAACCCCCCGGTCGCCCCGGTAAGGGCCTGCTCACATTCGCGGCGCGCTGTATCAGATCTTGAGAAAGGGAATTCTAAATGACGAGATGAGGACCATGGCAGACACCCCTCGGAAGTGAACCCTGGCCTGACGTAAAGCCCAACAAAGCTCAGCGCGTGGAAACGCACCGCAACCACGCAAACACGCGGCCGTGACGCCCGGCGAAGCGGCCGCCGGAGCCACAGACACTCAGACCGGCAGGTGCTCGGGGTTCGGGCAACGGGCGCCGGCAACAATTTCACTGCTGTGAAATTAATTCAAAAGATCTGGGTCAATTCACAGCGTCTTCAGCACCTCGCTGGCCTCAGCTTATCTGTGTTTTATTACCATCAACTTTCACTGGTCTTTTTAAATAGACAATTCAGCGTAGATGAGTGGGCGCTGAGCCCACCGGGACCTCGGCCTGCAGTGATGCGTGTGACTGCTGCAGGCCTCTGTTGTTCCAAGTTGAGGAAGACACAATGTTTCAACCCCTGCTGGTCTCCAACACGCTTGCCTAACGGGTTACTGGGCAATATCCACGTTTACACGCACCCCACCTACGTGGACAGCAGCCTAGGCTTTCGGCCAGTGGCTGGCACTGCCGGGTGAGGAGGAAATGACGAGCCAGCCGGTGGGCTGCTAGTCACAGCCGCCCAGGGCCCGGGGCTGCTGGGGCCCACGTGCTGCGGCCACTCGATGTCCTGTAAACTCCTGTGCTTATGTCTGAGTGGCGGGCGTGACTTTGGGAGTTGTGAGCATGCGCTGCCTTTGAAGCAGGAAGACAGACAAACACTGGAAGCAGCAGCCCTACACCGCTCCCAGACCTCCCTCTCCAGGGAGACCCCACTCCCCCACGCTGCCGTTTCCCACACACGCCTCTGCTACAGCCTCAGAGATGTGCGTGCACCTGCCCCAAACAGCTCCTCCCCGTTCAGCAGCAGGGCCGCCCCGGGCTGGGGCTGCTGGTCGCAGGGCGTGGGCAAGGCAGCCCCCCAAGAGATGGGCTCAGACAGCCCGGAAATGTAACCAAGAGCCGCTATCCATGCGTCAGCCACAGGGGCCTGGACGCAGATGCTGCCCGGCCCCCCGGGGCCCCTCTGACTGCACCTTCGAGTCACAGCACAGTTGTGACTCAGCTGTCTCCGAAACAACCTGGCCCCTTTCCGAGGACACGTAGGCCGGAGCCCTTGACAGTCACAGGGAAGCTCTCAAGTGCCTGCCCCCAGACAGCTCCAGGTCCTTTCTCGTCCTTCCAAAAGACACCCAGCTACGAAGGACTCCTGGCTTCTTTCAGAGAAAAGCTCCTCTCCCAGAATACAAGCGGCTTTTCTGAACACCTCCCAGGGCCACCTCCAGCCCCACACCGGCCACCTCCCGGTGATGGGGACCAGACTCTGCACCCCAAGGAACAGAATCAGCCACTGACGCTGACAGACGAGGGGAACACAGAGCTGAGGCTGCCGTGGGCGGTGGGCTGCAGAAACGAACAAGCAAACAAAACTAGAAACAAAGCTGGCAGCTGTGTGTCTGCGTGTTTACTCCCGGAATAATGGTTTCAGTTCCCATTCCCGGACTTCCTGAAAATTCACCCTATCAATTCCCTTCACTCTCCACTTGCTACTAACACTGGGGGACTCCACTCTAGGTCCGTTTTCAGAAACAGTCATGTGCAGAACCACAAACTTAACCACGAGTTGTAAGGCCATCTCTCCACTACACACGAAACAGGCACACTCCACGCTGAACGTGGGGCATGTTCCTTTCTGAAAATCCCCGTGGGGTGGGCGGGGCACGCGCCTGACGGCCAGCTGCTTCATGAGCAACTGCTGCCAGCAGGGACCACGGTTCATCGCCCGATTCCTATGCAGCAGGAACGCGGGTGAACAAACGGCCGCAAGCAGACAAAATCTGAGCGATTCCACATCAGACGGCAAGGCCCCCTGTTCCCCTCTGTGCCGCTGTATTATTTTGAATCATCACAGCACCGACTCTTCCACTCTCTTTACCCGAAGCATCAGAAGCCGGAAGTTCAAGTCATGAAACCGGCAGGATTTTGCGAAGGAGCCCAAAA